TGCCATATCTGGAGAATATGGTGGGTGGGGGAGAACTTCCCAACCCAACTTTATAATCTTGTGTTGAGTCAAACGTGCCACATGTGGACGTGCATTGTTGTGAAGAAGAAGAAGAACACCTTTCCGATTAACGAGTGAAGGGCGTTTCTGATGAAGGGGTTGATTTAAACGTTCCAGTTGCTGACTATAGATCTCTGCGTTGACAGTTCGCTGTGGATTGAGGAGTTCGAAATGAATTACTCCTTTGATGTCCCACCAAATTAAAGCATCACTTTACGTATTGTTTCATAAGAGACATGGTATTTCAGGGCCATTTCACGAGTGTGTTGCCTTGGGTTAGACTCAACAAGCGTCTCCAGAGCGTCAATATCAATTCCAACATGTCTGCCCTTGCCATCACAGTTTTTAAGGCTAAAGACACCTGAACGAAATTTGCTGAACCATCGTTGACACTTACGAACGTTCAAAACATTTCCATAAGCTTCTTTGATATTATTTGTGACTACAGAGGCGTTGTTTCCCTTCTTGTATTCAAACAGCATTACATGCCGAATGTGTGTCTCGTAGTGTGCCATCACTATAAAGGATTAGAGTATACTAAACACATGATTTAGGCTACACTAACGTGACGTTTAGGCGGTTCGTTTAACTTATATACGTGATGTACGTTTTTTTGGGGGGGGTAATGAAAATGTTCCAAAATGCGACATTAATTTCTTGGCCACCTAATGTATGTGGGATCTTAGTGACGTGGAAGAGGAAATACAGTTACATTATTTATCCTTCAGTTTTAAACTATTCAGTTTTGGGTTAATTAGACAATTGAAAAAAAGTCACAAATTATTATATTTTTCTGTCAGAATTATGAATTTTGGAGAACTTTCGGATCTCTATTTGCCATGAACAAAAACATACAAACAATGAAATTAGTTCTTTATTGTTCAAATCTCAACACTGAACGTGCTTGCCCTTTAAGCTGTGGGGGCATTTTAATGTGATGGTCAATCCCACTATTTGTTGGTAAAGAGTAGCCCAACGGTTGGCGGTGGGTAGTGTTGCCTTTCCTCTAATCTATTACTTCTAAGTTAAGGAAGACTAGCACAAGTAGCCTTCAAGTAGATTTACGCGAAATTTAACAAACAAACAATAATTGCTTACTCCTATAATTGTTAATTTGTACGTCTAATTTTCTTTAAAAAATAATTTTGGTATTTTAACAGCTGCTAGTAGGTTGCTTATAAAGAATTTTGGCCCCTAGTGGCTCAACGGTAAGTCTGAAAGCTAATTAACGCTAAAAACCGGTTTTCGATACCCGTGGTGGCACAACACAGATAGCCCATTGTGTTGTGTGTTGTGGCTAACAACAAACAAACAGAGTTTTTCGTTAACTGTCTACAGTAATTAGCCGTTCACTACAAGGTTTATAAAGATGGTTATTTAAGTTTTTTGCCATATGTAGTGTTAGAGTTGTAACTTAAGCATTTCATAATTCAATTTTGTAATCTTCCAAGCTTCGCTTAAGGCGAATAAAATATTCGCGACAAACAAGCGTCTGTGGAGTGCAAGTGCTCTTTTTGGTTGTTAGATTTCGGTGTAAACTCAACAATAAATCAACACCTTCTTTAGGTTCCTTTTAACGAAAGTTAATGAAAAAGGCCTAACACTGGTGATAAAATCACTCTAGACAGCATGGGTTTTTTGTTTTTTTTCTATCACTTTACTCTTAATTAAGTTCATTACGGACTTCGAGTCAGAGGCCACTGATCTCTATACTAAATTGGACTGTGCATTGGCTAGTATAACTGTAGTGACACTTGACGTCAAGTGGCAGCCATATTGTTGGTCCCTAAATAATCGAGTTTAACCGTGTTAGTGGCAAGTATATCCAAGTGATGGTTGAAAGCTTTGTAATAATTTCACTCAAATATATCCAAGTGATGGTTGAAAACTTGGTAATGATTTCACTCAAGTATATTCAAGTGATGATTGAATTATTTGCAATAATTTCACTCAAGTATATCCAAGTGATGGTTGAATGCTTTGTAATAATTTCACTCTTTCATGCGACCTCAATGATGTACATTTTAATTTATTTATATATATTACTTCTTTTTTTTGTAGTAACTATGAAAAGAAAATAACTGTATAAATTGCGCAAATACTTGTTTGTAGAATTGCCACTGTAAAAATAGAGCAACAAATTTCGGTCTAAGCCTATTCAAGTAGAAAGAACAGTATAAGTATAATGTAAGTATTAATATAGAAATAGCACAAAGCTGTTAAGTGCTGCATTTTGTTTTGAATTTCACGCAAAGCTACACGAGGGCTATCTGCGCTATCCGTCCCTAATTTAGCAGTGAAATACTAGTGGGAAGGTAGCTAGTCATCACCACCCACCGCCAACTCTTGGGCTACTCTTTTACAAACGAATAGTGAAATTGACCGTCACATTATAACGCCGCCACGGCTGAAAAGACGAGCATGTTTGGTGGGACGGGATTCGAACCGCGACCAGCAATTTGCAAGTCGAGCGCCCCCTAACAATCTGGCCATGCTAGGCCTAACAATATATAGAACAGTTCATGCTTTTCAACATCTTATGCGTAAATGGATTGCACTTGCTTGCCTAATTATTCTCAGGACAGTTAGTTAGTTTTTTTTAAATATTTTTCTGAAGAAGAATGCAGTTACGTATTCCATTCTTCGATACATACAATATTCTTTATAAAACTAACGCACTACTGAATTAGTTTACACTTTAATATGTATATTATTTTTTTTTTACATTTAATTTCACAAATTATAAGATAATTAATTGACAAGTTTACTGTGTATATTTGAAAGTTTGTAAAGCACCACTCCATAAACAAGATCTTGTACAAACATTTTCATCTTACATATAGGCCCGGCATGGCCAGGTGGTTAGGGGGCACTCGACTCGTAATCTGAGGGTCGCGGGTTCGATTCCCCGTTACACCAAACATGCTCGCCCTTTCAGCCGTTGGGGCGTTATAATGTGACGGTCAATCCAACTATTCGTTGGTAAAAGAGTAGCCCAAGAGTTGGCGGTGGGTGGTGATGACTAGTTGCCTTCCCTCTAGTCTTACACTGCTAAATTAGGGACGGCTAGCGCAGATAGCCCTCGTATTGCTTTGCACGAAATTCAAAAACAAACAAACAAATTTTCCATATAATTACCGATGTTTAGATAAAATTAATTTAAAAAGTTCTCCTCACACTTTTCACTTACACCAGTTGTTTATAAATATGATAACACGTTATTATTCACTTTACCAAGCTGTAAATATTCTGGTGTATGACGAAACAAGTGTCCATCTAAACCAGAACAAAAACCCATTCCAAACTACTACTACTACTTTAAAAACATCAATCTGTATTCCAAAGTGACTTAGTGACTTCAGGAGTCTCAAAAGCACTTTATGCAACCTGACATATTTGATTACACATAAAGATGCCTTTCACAAACGATCTCAATTTTTTTTTCTTTATTGTACAATTGACAATTTTCATCTTCGGCGGCTTCCAAATAACCTGTTCAGTGCATTATGTTTTGTGTCAGTTTGACTACATAACCGTTCATTCATCCAGCAACGGCTTTCTTATAGGAAGAAATAGGTGCTAAAATTGGTGCATGGTCATACTGTATAAACCCACGTACTTCCAGATCATACTGTATAGAAACAAATAGGTGTTAAATTTGGTGCATCTTTGTAACCATAATCGCACTGTATAAACTCACGTACTTCAAGATCATACTGTATAGAAACAAATAGGTGTTAAATTTGGTGCATCTTTGTAACCATGGTCATACTGTATAAACCCACGTACTTCCAGATCATACTGTATAGAAACAAATAGGTGTTAAATTTGGTGCATCTTTGTAACCATAGTCATACTGTATAAACCCACGTAGTTCAAGATCATACTGTATAGGAAGTAATAGGTGTTACATTTGGTCATACCTGCATACATGTCTAACACACATGCAGATACACTAGGAAGTCCCATGTTTCATCTTGGACAGTGCAGGTTCTTGTTGTTTTTATTTAATAATGCATGAGTAATCTTTTATATGAACTATCAGACAGTAGGAATGTTATTACAACTGCAAGATGACCTAACAGTAGCGAAAAAGAGAGAGAGAGAGAGTTCTGAATGATCCTGGCGTAATTTATGTGTCAAAAGATACTTCATGGAGGATGGAACTAGGCCTAGTGGTTAGGGCGATCGACTCATAATCTGAGGGTCGCGAGTTCGAATCCCCGTCTTTCAGCCGTGGTGGCGTTATAATGTGACGGTCAATCCCACTATTCGTTGGTAAAAGAGTTGGCGGTGGGTGGTGTTGACTAGCTGCCTTCCTTGTAGTCTATCACTGCTAAATTAGGTACGGCCAGTGCAGATAGCCCTCTGGCAGCTTTGCGCGAAATTCAAAACAAACGTCATTAAAGTTTCTAATTGCTACACGTTTTGATTGTAGTTAGAAACTCGGTGATGTCTGTTAACTGAAAAATCTAACTTTCTGTTTCTAATAGTAAAAGTTTCCAAAATGACTCATTGGAAATTTTCAATGAACTATCGTAATTTTTAGCCAATGGATAACTGGAGTTGATTAAAAAAAATCTAAGATTCTATCAAATGTTCTTATAAATTTAACTGTAGACTCACCTACCTGAAACATAGAACGGACACATCTACAAATTTCGCTCGGATATCGCGCTAATCTTGTGAAGTATTTCTCAACCAAACCGGATACTTCTACAAATTTGGCTCGCATATCGCGCTAATGACAAAATAAGATGTTGACAAGTATGTCTAGTTCTTAATCTCAACACCAGAAACTGTTTATTAAAGATAAATATCTCGGCTGAATACGATATGAAAAGAAAAAAAATTATGTTATGAGCTATTATTACCCTAAGGTTTCTAATGTAGCTTTAGCACTTGCCACCAGAAGCCTATGGACTAAACTGGTTTAGACCAATGGAATATATATATATATATTTTAATAGCAGTTATCTTTAAAAGATTGCAGACCGGGCGTGGCTTAGTAATTAATATGCCTGGAATGTGAATTCGAGGGTTCAATGTTTGCATTACGTTGTCGCAGAAACGTCCTCCATAAATTTGGGCCATAAGTGCGCTATAAGGTGTGACGGTCAGATTCCACTTTTCTCTTGGACAACAGTAGCTCAAGAGTTGGCGGTGGGTGCTGTTGACTAAATGCTTTTATTCTAGTCTGTCGATTTAAAATAAGGGACGGACATGCATAGTTTTGCGCAATAAATCCTAAACAATATGAATATTAAATTATTTATTTGGACCAACGTTTAGTGATTGCTTCACCAGTTACATTATGAGGTTTGTCTTGTTAACACTTTTTTCGTTTCCTTCTCGCCAGATGGTGTGGTTAGTAACACAAGCACTGTTTACTGCCTGGGGAGTGTACCTTTGCACAGTCTTCTTTTGCAAGTGTTTGATCTTATTACGTTCACTCGCTAAACTACCCACTGTCTTCTTGTCACGAGCGGACTCCACGAGCTATGACAACAAAGGTGTTATTTCGCTCGGCAAGTTGACCAAACAAGGCGATTCTTCGTCAAACGGAGGATTGACCACCAGTTGTCCGAAGTCTACTCGTTTTACCCCGAAAATTCGCATCACAGATGAAAACGAACAGACCTTTAGTTACGTGAGCGATACGTCCCAACACAACAGCACAGATGTTCGTAAGTATGGACCTTTTGTTGTTGTTGTTGTAATTTATTACGATTTAACAAGTTGAACCAACATAAGTAGCGATGTGTGTGTGTGTGAAGTTGTTTGGTAGCAATGACCGAAGTCATTCTAGCTTTTAGCAAATATTTGCGCGGAAATTAATAACTGGATGTTGATGACGCACACACACTCGGGTCTTGGAAAATCAATGACTCGAGGCGTATTTCTCATGATAGTCAAACGTGTTAATCTATATTTTTATAGGCAGCTTTCGGTAATCTCGCGTAAGCTGTCTTCAGGCAACGTTAACAAATTTAGATTCGTCAGGCCTGTCAAAATAAATTACAGACCTTCAGAATAAATATTAAAATATCCACGTATGCAAGGTTTTTTTGTTGTTGTGTGTTTTTATTTTCAGCCTCTTTTAATCGTATGCTACATTGTGTTAAAGTACAACAAAGTTTTTGACCAGACGTATTTTCGAGCGATGAAATTTTAATATTTCTCATGCGTGCCATGTATATACAAAGGTAGATTTCAGTGGCAGTAGCCCCACCAAAGCCTTAATTATTTTTTTTCTTCTGAAAAATGTAAGATATTTTGTTAATGGGCTTTGTTTATGGGGAATTATTAATGTTAATATATATACACAAAGTACACATTTAATTTTTTCTGTTCTTCATAACACTCTGACTGTTACGTAGTTATTACAGTTTATATATGAACTTTGAAATGTTCTACATCAACAACAGAAATTAGGGATCAACTTTGACCCCCCCTCCCCCTCCCTTTGCTGAAATGGCGTCACTGGTTGATTTACTTGTTATAAACAATATCTTAATACTAGAAATAAACGACCTTATAACATCAGATTTGTTTTGTTTTTTTACTTGGACACAGCGTTTCGCTTACAGCTTCTTCTGGAACGTTCCATCAAAAGACAAATCGTAACTGAAGCTTTGCACTGTCAATTGTGGTTTGTTTCAGTGGAACGCTCCTGAAGAAGCTGTAAAGCGAAACGTTGTGTTCAATTAAAGACAATAACATTAATAACGATTAATAGTTATGAAAACCCTTGCTCGTTTGTTTCTAAATGTTCGCTTACATATCTTATTGCTCGTCCGTTAGCGGAAGTAGTTCCTCCCGGAAGTTCTCAACAATTGAACGTCAGAACGATACGTCTATTGTTTCGTCAATATTTGTTGGTGTAGAAGGATTTATTGCTGTCTTTCAAAAGTTGTAGTACATAATATCAAACAATTTTATGTACTAGCTCTGAAGAACCTGCTAAAGCAGAACGTTAGTTAAAATTAAAGTTATCTTATAATTATTTGGAGTGTAAAGGTCGTTTTTTTTCTCTAACTTTATTATCAGCAAAGGATTTATACCGAACAATTAAATTTTTCTGGCTCAAATATTGCACTTTTTCGCGTTTCATAGTGAGTTTTCAAGTAATACTATTTTTGAAAGCAAATTACTGTGAGAACGTTGAACAAAGAGTCAAACATTTCTCAAACTTTCTCCTTTGAACTTCATGAGAACTAATTACACAGGCCTACGATGGTTTTATTCTCTTGATATTTTTACATGTTCTACAGTAATTCCTGTACGCTGAATCCGT